CCCTAGGTAATTAATAGAATTTCCTCTTTGTATTTTTTTAGGAACAATTTGCAATCCCCAGCAAGGCAAAAATTTTCTTTACCTCTTCAGACATTTTTTTTTGTTAAGGTGTCTGAGTATGAATTAGCTAGTAAGATATCATACGTATAATGGTAAATTATAGATTGAGGAAACTGTTTACAAATTACTTCCAATGATCCAATGAGTATTGTACAAAATATTGACACAAGGTGAGGCTGTTGAACATCCTTTTTAGAAGCACTTTCCACTGATACCTTTTAACAGGCTCGGAATTATTATAAGTAGGCAGTGTGAAGGGAAATTTTGTCTCTATCCTGTTCTTGGAAAAGTATAGTAAAAAAGCAGTCTTCTAAATCAATCATTGTATTAGACCATCTTTTAGGTAACAGAAGGCAAGGGAATTCCAGGTTGTAAAGAACATATTGACTAAATCACCTTATTTATGGCTTTCAAATCTGTTAACACTCTCCATTTTGCAGATTTCTTTTTAGTGACAAATATAGGAGAATTCCAAGGATTGGTTGATTCTTCAATATGTTGAGCCTTTATCTGCTCTTGCACAAACTGTTCTAATACCTGTAATTTTTCTGATGTCAAAGACCATTGTTCCACCCAGACAGGTTTCTCAGTTAACCATTTTAAAGGTAGGGCTGTTGCTACCTTTGAAATATTAGCAGCTATTGCACTCTGATTATGTATAACCTATAGTCAGTGATTATTTTTGATAATACATTTTAATATTTTCTAGAAACATACATTAGTTTATGGTTTGTTTCCAAGATTGGAGTAATATTAATCTGGGTTTTCCATTCCTGTAACAAATCACATCCCCATAAATTCATTGCTATGTTAGCCACATGTTGTCCTATCCTGCAGGACACTCAACGTGGGTCTGTTGGACACCTAGGAAAAAGATGGGGGGCAGGGGACACAAGGACGGATGCCAAGACAAGAGTCTGATCAAGGTGACAACTTTATTCATCCCAAAGGGATTTATATAGGGGAAGGGAGGGGGAAAGGAATGGGGGTGTGCTATAGCTGCAATGAACCTGGCTGAGCAGAAGGTCAGTGGGATGGGTAGGTCATCCTGTGTCCTCTGGTAACCTAACTGTAGACTCTTAATTTATCTTTACCATTCCACATTCTATTAAGCCCATGCCCTAGATAAGTTGAAGGTCTGTTTCTGGAATTTGGCAGGTAGCAGGGTGGTCCCGAGTCACGTACTTTCTGTGAGGGTTGAGTCACGTCTTATGAGTACCTGAGGCAGCTGTACCTGGTTGATGGCTGGAGGTCCCTGACAACTTGTGAATTTAATTCCCTTACCTATCTTTCTGGACCTACACACCCAACCCACCTTGTACTTTGTTTTACCTGAGATAAAGTTCCAATTCCTATAGGCTGAATATCTAGCTCCTGAAGAAGCCAATCTGGATAGCAAGATTTTTATGTAATTATTGTTGCATCCACACCTGTGTCTGGTAAATGTTAAAACATGATACTATTTATTTGAATTTTTAGCTTTGGTCTTTGATCATTTATAGAAGTTTGCCAAAATACTTATTTTATGGTCTCTGCTGAAAACTTTTGTTTTATCTACTGAAGCTTTTCTGTCATCCAGAGAAGTACGGTTTTTAAAAACAGGCATTAAGTCTTTTAATTGCTCTGTGGATGGGGTTCTCCAATGCTGACAGGGAATGATTGAACCAAATTTGACTTTGTGGCCTGTGGGAGGCCCCCTAAAATGTTTCCTGGTGTCAAGGATACTTTGTTTGTTCCTTGTTGATTGTATTCATTAGTCCAATGCTAGCCTTTTCTACACCATCTGCAGACTCCAGAATACTAGGGCCGTCTGTTTGGATTATCTCTAGAAAAAAAGCCCTTTGTTTCTAGAAATTCCTTGCTTACAATCCCTTTTCAGAAGACCTGGTTTACCACAATTAAAACATCTAACCGCTTGATTTTTCTCAAAATTTTTAGAAACCACTTCTCCTATCCAACTATCATCATAAGTATGAGACCCAATATCAGCTGTATTTCTAATCCATTCATTCCTTTGTGTAGATCTTGCCCTTCAAAGTCCTAATCACCCTTTTGTATTCTGAATTAGGCTCTTCCAAAGCCAAAGATTCAGTTAATTTTTGTCTGACTTTTGGCTCTGATATCATTAAATTTACAGCTGAAGTTTATCTTTGTAAAGAATCAGTGAAGGTTTCTTTTAGGCCTTGTATAATTTTAGTGTGTGACACAGTCCTCTGTCCTGATTCTTCAACCCTGTTCCAAGCATTCAAAGCTGCTGTATGGCATAGGGCCAAGATGTGGTCACCAAATCTCAACTGTCTTTGCACATCACCGTACTGGTCTTTACCAAGGAGTTGATCTTGGGAAATTTCCATACCTCTAGCCCTAACTCATTCTTCTATGACCCTAGCTTCCTCTCTCCACCATGTTCTCCATTGTAACTGAGGGCCAGCTTCTAATATTGCCGTAGCTAAATCTTTCCAGTCTTGTGGAGTAATTCTGTTTCAAATTGCCCATGAATTTAACATCTGTTTCACAAAAGGTGAATGCATACCATATGAAACTAATGCTTCCTTAAATCTCTTCAAATCTATTATTTTTACTGGCTCCCAGTTAACTGCTGCATAGCCTTGGAGGTGCCTGTTATCTGTTGGTCATTCTTGAATGGTGATTGGATTAATTAAGGTTGGTTTTTCTAATAGCTTTGGGTCACTTCTCTTCAGTTTCTTAAAGCATTGGTGCAGTAGGTTCTGTTCTAAGCTCCTCTATCTGTGCAAATATTTTTCTTAGTTTCATTAATAGATCTTTCTAAGGATTTTGTCATATCAGTCAATATTTCATTTATGGTACTGATATCAAACTACTTTTTAAAAAATAAAATGTGAATTGCCAAGCTGATATTGATTATAATCGATATTATGTCAATCCCAACTAAATGGATTATCCCTTCATTTAACTTTCCCATTTCCAAACCATCCATTGTGGATCCATACAGAGCCCTAACTCCCTGCATTGTAATACTGTTCCCCATTCCTAATGTGGGGAAGGCCTTAAAAGCTGATTTCCCCCTTAAGTATTCCCAGGTGTCTCACCAGATCCCCTGATAATGACATCGAAGTGCGGGGCTGGCTGTCGCTGCACTGCAGGGCTGGACAGAGCACGGGTGACGCGTGACCTGGCGGAGGGCAGCCGCAGCTATTCTTGTGTAGCTGGATGCTGAGAGTGCACGGCGGTGGCCACCAGCAGTAAAACCTGAGTGGGTGTCTAGGCGGCTGACCCGGCATGGCAGCGGACTGAGGAGGGGGTCCAGGGCAAGCCCGCAACCCATGGGGAGAGGGAGCAAACACGGGGACATGCAGAAGAAGCCTTCGTGGTGGAAAGCAAGGTCATGGGGGCTGCCTGAATGACCGAGCTGGCAGGCCGTGGGTGGCTAACACCAACAGTGTCTGGAGGCCAAGCTGCCTGTGGCGCTCAGGGCCAGGGACAGGAGGCAGCCAGAGGCTGCTATAGAAAGGATGCAACTGAAAAAACTCCAGACTCGTGTGCAGGGCCTGGGTTCCACCCAGAGCCTAAGTCCAAGAAGCCAGGTGTGGTAGTGCGCATTTATAATCTGGGTTTCACTGGCCAGACAGCCTCGTTACCCACATCAGTGAGAAACCCTGCCTGAGGTTGTATTGTGGCCTCCACACACACACACATGTTCTGTGAAAACCAGAACACACACACACATACACGCACACGCGCACACACACACACACACACACACACACACACGCACAAATAGAAGGCAAACATGGCAGTACACTCCTATAACCACAGCACTCCAGAGACCGAGGCAGAAGAATCCTAAGTTTGAAGTAAGGCCAGACTGTTTTGTATGTTCCAGGACAGCTCGGGATACATATTATTATTTTTTTTTTTTTTTAGCAGTGGAATTTCAAATGTTAGCTGTTTTAGAAAGATCTGTTTTCATTCTTTTTATTATTTATTTTTTATTTTAATTTTAAATAGCTTGTTTTACATGTCAATCCCAGTTCCCTCTCCCTCCCCTCCTCCCACACCCCCCCCACACCATCCCCCCATCCTCCCACCCTATTGCTAATTCCTTCCGCATAGGGGATATCTAGAGTCTATCATTTCATTCAGGATAGGGTACAGGCACTTTCCTAAGAGTCCAGGCAGAGAGAGCAACCTTCTTTGTGTTATGGACACACGATGTCTGTTAGTATTCGAGGGATAAACACTGATCCACTGCTCAGGACCCCATAGGTAGCCCAGGGAATCATAGGTTAGAAGACAGATCAGGCACTATTGTGACCTCTAGTGATCTAAACGGATGACACCAATTGGCAAGCTAAACAATAGTGTAGAGACCACTTCGAATGCCTATTCCTGATAGTGAACTTGATGTCTATAACCATCCTGGAGCCTTCATCCAGTGACTGATGGAAGCAGAGGCAAACACCCACAGTTAAATACTAAACAGAACCCGAGGAACCCAACGACAGAGAAAGAGGAGCGAAGAGCAAATTGGCAAAGAATGGGCTGGCAAAACCAGCAGAGACAGCTGATCTGAACAGGGGAGAGCTCTTGGACCCCAGACCGACAGCTGGGAGGCCAGCATGGAACCGATCCAGACCCCCTGAGTGTGAGAGTCAGTGAGGAGGCTCGGGATATATATTAAGACCCTGTCTTTAAAACCATCAAGCAATGGGGGCTGGAGAGATGGCTCAGCAGTTAAGAGCACTGGCAGTTCTTTCAGAGGACCTGGGTTCAATTCCCAGCACCCACATGGCACCTGACAGCTGTCTAACTGCAGTCCCAGGTACCTGACACCCTCATGCAGGCAAAATGCCAATGCATATAAACAAACAAAACAATTGAACAAACGACAAAAAAAAAAATGATCATGTTGGGGGGGAAATCCATCTGAACTGGGAAGCTTTGCTTCTGTCTTTAAGGCGTTTCTATTCACTGTCTCATTGACTGCGCTTACCACGCCCACTCTGCGTTGCCAGGATGACCGTTTCCTCCCACCTCTTGCTCTGAAGAGTGATGCACAGACGGCGTTCGCTCAGCATCCTCAGCATCCCGGATTCCCTGAGGTAGAATGACTGGAGCCTCTGCTTTTAACATGCAGCCCTCTGTGAACTCCTGTCCTGTACATGTGTCGGCTTACAGCAGGTCTGAAATTGGAAAAGGCAAGGCAGGGGAGGCGAGGCGTCCAGTTCAGGGTGTGGCATTGACTCTGCCTCCCGGGAAGAGGGCTTCCTCGGGTGGTCTGGGACGGAGGCACTGTGATTGCTCAGCTGTGCAGATCTCACTGTGGTGCGGACAGGAGGTCATTTCCTGCTCAGAGCACCCTGAGGGGAACCTAGGTGAGGTCTGTGTCAGGATTGCACCTTTAACTATCAAATGCGATATGTGATCGATCAAAGAGCCCCGTGGGAGGAAGTATAAATAAAACATGTCTCTTCCACAGAGGGCAGGGCTGCAATTTGCCAAGTGCAGTGTAATTGCATCTGGTTAATTATCCCAGTGGTGAGATGGGAGTGTCAATGACACACACTCACATCCACGTTGTGCTAAAAATAATGCTAGTTCTTGGATGTTCCTAATGTTGTTTCCGAGACACGGACAATGTCTGTCTGGTGCTTTGGGATGCTAAGAGATGGATGGTAACTTCAGATAGCTCCATGCCATGACTGTCAATTTTTACCATCACTATAATTACTTGCAATTATGGTATTATAATTATCAATAATAATTGCAATAATATTACTGAATGCAGTCATTAGACTAAGTACTACCCATTAGCCTGATGGCTGCTCACAACAATTGCAAGAGTGTTTTCTTTTCCTAAATTTCAGATCAGGGAACCAAAGATTAAGAGCCTTATTCAAGGTTCCATTGCTGATAGTGAACCCTGGCTGTTTTACTGGAGATCCAGAGATTTTTTTTCCTCTCAGCCCCTATAGCAGACTTGGCCAGTGCCTGATCTTGATCCCCTGGGGCACATTTTACCATCCAGTGTACCTAGACCCCGCCTCTGACAACTGCTGGCAGCATTGCTGTGGATAGTCCAGAGCTAAGATCTTTTGAGAAATTGTGCCCATCAGAGGTGCAGCCAGTTTCACCTTGTATCACCTAAAAGTAACTACTAAACTCCCACAAGGCAGGAAACGTCGAGAATCCCCTCCTGTATCAGGCAGCTCCTCTCTGTGCACCTCTTGTATGTGCTAGCACTAAGCCCCGCAGAATCAGGCAAGGCTAGACATTGCTTAAACCATATCCTTAATTTCTTCTTTTCTACCCCCACGTCTCTCCTTCTCACGTAGATTGCCCTGAGATCATTCTGATCGTAAGGACTGGCGCAGATTCCCTCTTGGACTCTGGCTCTTGGGAGCCAAGGAGAGCAATGGTTGAGCTGGTGGTCAGTGTCTTTCCTGCTTACCCAGAGAAGGCCTCACCACTGAAAAGCTTCGCTTGCCCCAGATTGCAGACCTGGGGTAACTTTCTCACATCTTGGCACCTGAGGTTTCTTCTCTACAGGAAGAGAGGGCTAGGTTACAGCTTCCTCTCAGTCTCTTCTAGTCCTGCAAGCTACTGAAATCTCCACTTTCTAAAAGCCATTTGCTTGGAGTTACAGCTGTGTCAAACAAAAGTCTTTGGTGTGGCAATTTACCACTATACGAAGATTCCTAAAACAGGCAACACCTTCTTACCTGCTCTTCATCTCTCCCAAGCAAGATATAGTCTACCAGGGGACCCCACAGGTGACCCTGTGAACTGGGAATTCTGTTTAATTCAAATTCAATATATATATATTTTTTAAGAGGAAATGGCATTGCTAAGGTTTGGCAGCAAGGGCAGCATGCTTCAGGAAACTTACAGCTCGAGGTGGAGGTGAGGGCTGGGCCTTCGTCTCCAGAGAGAGGGGGTAATTGTAGTGGATAGATGGATTCCCAGATTCTTCAGGAGGAGGGTCGTTGGTGACGTCAGCAATTCACTCTGACTGGAGTAATTCCATAGACAACAATGAGAGATAGGAAAGTAGAGGTTGTTCTCACAGCTATGCATTCTGAAACAGCAACAAAAGAATAACAAGGATAGGTACTCTACCTTTGGTCATAATGTAATCCCCACCAGAAAAACACGCAGGAAGGCCATCTTGAGGATGGCCAAATCCCCAGCAGATAGCTCTTGAAGGTGAGTCCCTGTGCCCTAGACTAGGCTGCACTGCTACCAGGAAAAGTGTGACAATACAAGGAACCTTCTACGACACAGAGATGAAGTGCTCAGTACATATTCTGCCCTTAGGAGGCATGGCTTCTGCACCAGAGAGGCTGGGATTCCCTAGACTCTCTGGCATTTTGGCTTCTATATGAATGCCTAAACCAACCGGACGTGGACTCGTGTGGGACTCAGGAGGTAGGGGTGAGGTGGAGATCATCTTTCAGCATCTTCTGCTGACCGTGGTGATCACAGAGCTATGCATGGAGAGAGGGGCTTGCCCATCTATATGCCCATCTATATACAGGACATTCATTCTGGAGCTGCACGTTGTTAGCAAGTCTGGAGGCATTTCTGTCCGTGGTGGCTGTCTGATGATGGCGGTGGTTGCATGGGTGGGGGGGGGAGGGCAACATTTTAATGGAAGTTTCTAGATCAAACTTCTAGACCTGGAAGTTTCTAGATCAAAAGCAGAGGTTTCATCTCATAGAAAAGACGGCAGGCTTTTGGGTGGGCCAATTTGCCACTCTAGAAAACTTAAGCTGGAACTGTTTTCTTTAAGCCACCGAGGATTCTGTAAGCCATCCATTATGTAACCCGGAGTGTACCTTTCTGCACAAACTTGCTACTGTTTGTCCTGCACAAACTTGCTACTGTTTATTCTGTACAAACTTGCTACCATCTATTCTTTACTGACAGGGACTCTGCAATGAGCTGTTTGTGGCAGAGAAGGTAACCTGTGAACCCAAGGCATTGTCCTCATTGTAAACCCATCTTACCAAGAATAAGAATGTGCCAAGAACACTCTTCTGGACACTCACTGTGTGCCAGCCCTTGTCTCCAGAGCCACATAATAGAGAGAGCAGCCTTGATTGACCTTATTGTATGGAGGAAGAAATCACAGCACAGAGGAGCCCCTTTTCTTTCAAGGTCAAGGTCACACAGCTGGAGAGCAACAACCTAGTTTTGAATCAGAGCTGTCAAGTTGCCTGTACACTATGCCTCATGGGTTAGGGCAGCTCTCTCTAGGCCATGAGGACCTGACAACACTCATACATAGAGGGAAAAAAATGGTTTTTGTGTTGAGAAATATCTCTAGAGGCATTTCCCCTCTCTTAAAACTTGAGTAAAACTGGAGTAGCTGTGTTACCTGAAAGGTCAGACATACTTCATGCCAAACCACAAAGATCCCCAAGCGGGGAAGACTGGAAGAGAGGAGAAGGGCTGTTGGGAACCTGATCTCCCAATGACTGACCCGGAAAGAAAGTGTCGCTTCAGCAAAAGCAAGAAGGCCTGGCCTCTGCCACCAGCGTGCTGAGCCTGGGGCATGCAGGCAGGCGTCCTGATGGCTGCTTTGGCCAGGATTTAAGTCCAAGGTGGGAAAACAAAAAAACAAGGGAGTCATGGGCTCAGTAGAGAAGTGAGGCCAAGAAAGTTCACGCCACACAGAGTCCGGAGGCCGGGACCATCCCAGCGCCTGTGCCCTCTTAGGAGAGGCTGGAAAGCTGAGCTAAGGGAGTGAGTGCAGAAGAGGAACTAGGAAGAGAATCCCCCCAGGTGGGGTGGAGATTCAGCTGTATCCTTGGCTTCTTTTGTCAAATAAGATGATTCTGGAGCATCTGGCTTGGGGCAATGGCCTTCTGCTCCTCAGACTCCCCCCTGGATCTGACCTGCATTCAGGAAGCTCACACAGCCTCCAGGGCTTGGGCTGTCCTCAAGACTAGAGTTTTCACACAGCCACTGTGCCTTTCAGTTTCGTTGGAATCTGACTGATGGCACAGGAGTTTGAGGAAGACGGGATTGGGCTGAGCCCAGCCATGGAAACTTTGGAGGATTTCCTTGGCCTTTCTGCACCTTAGATTCTCATAAGCAAAGGGAGAATGAGGCTGGCACTTGTGGTAGAGTTTACATGGGATAATACGGATGAAGGGCCCGGGAAAGGGCTTTGTGCGCAGGAAGTTCTCAATGTCAACTCCTGTTGTCATCGTTGGTACCCTGTGCTTTCTCTCTCCGTTCCTACCTTGTGTGAAGCGTGAAGGCTTTACCCAGATAGATTTCTACTTCAGCTCTTACTGCTGCATGACTTGGGGCTATCTTTAGACTTCTCTGGCCCTGGGTTTTCCCATCTGTGTAGTGAGGGAAATGAGTAGACCTGTCCTTGTCAGCACTGCACTTAGATTCTAGCTGAGGTCCTCCTGCTGTCCAAGCTGAAGCTACGCCGGGGCCAGCTTTACACGATGTTGTTGAGTCCCACGAGTCATTCATTGAGGATCTCTTTGTGCTAGGCCTGGTGTCAGAGTCCTGGGATGGGCCTGCTTGGGAGAGTCGGGCCAAGAGACTCCAGGAAGAGACACAAAGACAAGCCTAACCCTCTGCGGTGTGCACAGCCACGCGTGCATGAGGCAGGCCGGGAACAGAAGTCAGCTGGCTCTCTCACTGCCACAGAAAGAAGGCTTCGAGAGAAAATAAGGGTGTGCTTTTATTGTATGCCTGCAGATAAGAGGTGTTGGGGAAGTCCTATGTATATGTCAATAAAGCACTGCTGGCCAATAGGGAAGCAAGATAGGTGGGACTAGGAGTCCAGGAGGACTCTGGGAAGGAGAAACACAGGAGAGTCGAGATGTAACCACCATGGGGTAGGAAGCCCAGAAATTTCTCCGGTAAGAGACATACTTAGATTAACAATCATGGGGTAATTACTTAAGTCAGAGCTAGCCAGTTAGGAACAAGCAAGGCCAGCAGCTTCATAATTAATACAGCCTCCTGTGTGTTTATTTGGGACTGATGCCGCTCTGGAACCAGGCTGGCGGGAAGGCTTCCCTTTACAAAGAGGAAATGCAGTAAAGCACGAGGGAAAACCCTGAAAACAAGAGGCTCATGAGACCCCACCTCTTCCTGAGCATGTGTAGGCAGTTCACGGTTGCTGGGGGGGGGGGGGGAGAGGAAGGGTGGACAGAGAGAGAAAGATAGAGAGGCAGAGAAAGTGACGCGAGCACACCCTCAGGTTACCAAGGGGGGAGGAAATACACAGCAGCGCTTCACTTGGATGTTATATCTATTCCCACATCACGTGTGTCACATCGACTGTGTCTAACCAGTCAGCATAAGCAGGATCTAACAAATGAGCAAAAGAATCCTAGGGGCCATGGTATATATAACACACCACGGCCAGGTAAGTGTGATGTGGGTACCTCCGTGGCCAGGTTCGGGCTTCCCATCTTCTTGTTCCTCTTGATCTGCTTGCTCTGCAAGGTGTAGTGGCCAACTGGACACCAGGGCTTGGCTCACATACGGACAGTCAGTGCTCCCTCCCTCCCTGCCTCCAAGAGGAATTGAACGCCAGGTCTGTCTCATCAGGAGTTAAGCTGTGCTCCAAATATAAGGGTTACAGCATGGGAGGTGAAAGTTCCCTGAAGGAGACTGAGGTATTGCTGGAAGGAGAAGGAAACATGGCAGCATGCGTGACACAGGCTAGCCGAGAGCCAGGTCTGCAAGGGAGCTTGTCCGGCATCAGGTCCCTGCATTTCCTGGCTCTTGATCCCTGGCTTTGGACAGCTTTACTAATTAGTTGTCATGGTAGTTTGAATGTTACCAGCTCCCATACTCCCATTATCTCATGGGGAGTGGCACTATTAGGAGGGGTGGCTTAGTTGGAGTGGGTATGGATTTGTTGGAGGAAGTGTGTCACTGACATTGAGGGGCAAGCTTTGGGGTTTCCTATGCTCAGGATACTGCCCAGTGTCTTAGTTGATTTCCTGTTGCCTGCAAGACGTGGGGAATCTCAGCTGCTAACATAGCACCTCATCTAACTGTAGGCCACCATGCTCCCGCCATGATGATAATGGACCGAACCTCTGAAACTGTAAGCCACCCGGAGTAAATGTTTTGCTTTATAAGAGTTGCCGTGGTCACAGTGTCTCTTCACGGCAACAAAAATTCTAAGACATTTTTTTTTCCTCCATGACAACATTTCTGACAAAAGCCACTTAAGGAAGGAAGGAAGGGTTTGTTTCAGTGCTTAGGTCCAAGGTTCAGTCTGTCATGGGCAGGAGTGGGGGCAGGGGGAGGGTGGGGGGGGTAGACTGGGGGTGTGAGGGGTGTCTTCATGGCAGGAGTCCAAGCCGCATTGCATCTGCAGTCAGGAAGCTGGAGGAAAGGGGAGGGGCCCCTCTTGACCCAGTCCAGGAACCCAGACCATGAAATGCTGCTGCCTGCAACTGCAGTAATTTTTCTTGATTTAACCTGATAGAGAGAATGCCACACAGGCATGCCCGCCGTCTGTCTGCAAGGTGATCCCACATCCTGCCAGGTTAACACTCAGCACAGATCATCACATCCTCTCTTCTCTTGGCCCCAGGTAAAAGCACTACCTTCGCCACCCTGCCTCGGTAGCTGGGAATCAGTTTCCTGCTGGCCTCGGGTTTTGTGTCTTCACCGTTCTTCCTTCCTAGTTGTCCATGTGTGGTGCCCAAATTCTGAACCCCAAAATCACCAAGAGGCCCATTTCGATGCAAAAGCAAAGAGTCTTTGATTATAGACCCCGGGGATCTTAAAGGGCAGCGTAAGAGGAGTGTCTAGGGGCATGAAACAGTCTCAGGATGGGTGCGCTTCCAGGTTTGGGTGACCTGCCCTGTGTTGATTGGTCAACTGGTTGTTATGGCCCATAGGCCCTCCCAGGATGGTTGCTATGCTCTGCACGTCACTGTTGTGCACAGTCCATAAAGCACAGCCCCGCCAGCTAACTTCTGATTGGCTCCTTGCCACGAGGAGGGCGTCTGACCTCCTAGTGACCAGGACAGGAGCGGCGAGGTGATGCGAGCACATGTTAGCCTGTCATGGCTGCTAAAATGGGGGAGACTGGTCACTACGCATGCGGTTGTATCCTTCCTGTTTCCTCAAGGCTGCAATGACTGTGAACGCCTCCCGCCCATGGACTAGCTAAGCATACAGGCCCTAAGCTCCAGGAGTCAGGATCAGATCTTCCTTGTTCCATTTCCCTGTCCAACCATTACTTCCTCTTGGCACCTCCTGTGTCTCCTCTTTCCCCGCAGAACTGAAAGCGGTAGCTCCTTAGTGAGTGGTGATGTCTGCACGGTCAGGTCCGTGCCGAGCGCTCACCAGCGCCTGGAGGAGAGTGAGCTTTGCTCGCGCGCGTTTTCTTCTCTAGTGTCTCCATTAGAGATCTTGACTATGGGACCACTGGTAAGGCCAGCTTCTCCAAGAATCTGAGTCTGAGAAGGGGGAGAAGTGAGTGGATTCTTTTGGGAAACAGCTGCGAGAAAGAGTGGGCAGAAAGGTGGGGGGGAGGGGAGGGGGAGAGAAGCCTGGAAGGGTGTCCAGCCCCGGAGGAGAAGGGA